AAATTGCTGTAAAAGGTGCAGGCATTTTGGAGAAGCAGTTTCACGCTGATGTGGCCCCACTTCCCATTTACTTGGCTGGTTCCTGTGCTGCCACCACCGCTCTCCAGATCCATATGTGGAGCAGCTGGAGGTGGTCCAGCACGGTGCTGCCCTGGAAGAGGTGCGTTCCCATCCTGATCCTCCTCTGATAACTGAGTGAAAGGCAAAGGCTGGTGATCTCTCATGCCAGCTTTGCTGAAGAAATGCTTTCTTAGCAGCTCTACCTGCAATATTCTTCATTCTCTTAACCCAGAGATGCCTTGAGTCTCCCTTATTGCTCTGCAGGAGCTGATGCATGCCTCTGGGGGAGACCCAGAAGCCTCAGAAACTCTTCTTACCTGTTTATGGTGATGCCTAGAGAGACAGCACCTTCCTTCAGACAGTTGACCTCACAGCCATGGAAGGGCAAGAGCTTGCATATTGTCCTTATCTGGTGGTATGTGGTGGTAGCACACAGCTGAGGGTAGGCATACCCTAGCTCATAGGTAGGCTGGCAGGAGCTGGGGAGTGGGAACTCCACCTGCCTTTAGCCCTGCTCTGTAAAAACACTCTCTCTCTTGGATGGAGTCTGGGGCCACCATCTCTCATAAAGCACCATGTGGACTCTTCTCTTTTGGGTAGTTTAGCATGACAAACACTGCGGTGAGTGGAGTAGCCCATAGCCCATTGTCACTCTGGAGGCTCATGTGGCCCTGACAACTGATACTGACTCAATGATAAGCCCAGTGTGTGGGCTCAGCAGGCTTTTCAGGGCTGGAGGAGTTTGACTGAGCACTGAGTTGTTTAAGATATCCTTAGCTGTCTCACCAGCCACCTGCTCAGGGTGACATTGCAAAAGATGACAACTACACCATGATCTTTTCAGAGAGAAGCAAGACCATGAGAGAAGACTGGGAGAAATGGCAGAGAAAAGGTGAGCAAGACCCACATTCTGGATGGCTTGGAATGTTTAGCCAGAAACTTAAGTCAGTTTATAGGTCATCTATCTACCTCTTTCCAACCTATTGAGATATGTCAAGTCCAGGCTAAGAAGGACTCACTAGCATCTCCACTCATCACAGGTTCAAGACTGTTGGTTTGACATCTGTAAGAAAAAACCTTGCTCCATCCAATCTGCCACTCTTGTGGTATCAATATCCTGTCACACGTTTTCCCCCCAAAGGGTGATTGGTGACAAACCTTATTTTTATGGTTTACCCACCTGGGCAGGTTGCTCACTTCTCAACCTGTCCCCTCTTTCTCTCATTGTACTAGGAGCAGGTAACATTCAGGGGGTTTTATTAACATTTACTGTTTTTTATATACCAGGCTGAGGTGAGATCTGCATCCTTTGAACCTTTAAGACCATGAGTTTCTCTATAACACCAGCACTCAATGGGAGTAAAAGCCCAGAAAGGGGGCTTTGCCATGAGAGCAAGATCAGTCTTTCTCTGACCGCTTTGGGGTCCCTTTTTAAAAGATGATATCCACAGACAGTGAACTCTATGGGGACATTACTAGAAATGATCACATAAAACTAAGAATGCTGAAACTACATTTGTAATATTCAGCTGCTCTAATCTGCAAACAGTGCTGAATGCTCGAAAGAGGCAACAGCCACCTTCCAAAACTGTTTTCAAGCACATATGACCAAGAAAGTCACTTGACAGAGCCAAAGCACCTGCATGTTTCTGCTCAACCCCTAGGAAGTCACAGTAAGGATTATCACCATGTAGATCTGTATAGGAAGATCATAAAACATAAAATGTAAAATAGGAGGTTGTCTAGTCTAGGCCACCCATCCATCCCTTACAAGTGCAAAGTGAATGATTTGCACAGGGAGGACCAAAGGTTTCAAGTGTGGGGATTTTAACTAAAAACAGCAATAGAGGTGTGAAAGAAGCACACTTGCCAGCACACGAGTATGGCTTAGTGCTGCAGTAAAGGGAAACAAAGCTGCAAATTACATTCAGAGCTGTATATTTCCCATTGATTTAACAACTACAGCTCAATTTTCAGAGTATTAAAAATCCTGTCCTACTGCAAATAGGTTTTTATGTTTTTTAAACACTGATTGAAAACATCAGTAAGGCAGTTGCTGTGACCGCGCCCTTGGAGATGAGCAGCTCCACACACAGGTATTTCGGGAAATCGTTGTAAACCAGCATTGCTACCCCTTGGTTAATTGATTTCACAGAGGGCACTCGCTGACGTGATGTTTCATCCTACCACTGGGTTTCTCGTGAGGTTTCAGGACACAGTAAGGCAGGGCTGAAAGGGGGCAGAAGAGGAGAACAGCAGCTCAGCAAATCTCTGCTTCCCTGATTTGTGTCCACAGACACCTGCTTATCCTATGTTGGACTTGTGGTGGTGTCCTCTGAGTTTATTTTGCTTGCAGGTGCCTCTGCTTGGTCCTCAGTGTTACGGGCCGAGGTGATGATCTCCAGGTCTGGGAACAAGCTCCCTGGGTGAGCCTGTTTGCGGGGAAAGCTCGTATCTGCTGGCGTAAAGATGTGTCCCAAAGGAGGCAGCACCCCATGGGCACCCCTGCCCGTGGAGCCTCCCCATTCTCCTGTGAGGTGTGCGGTGTATTCCCAGACCCTCTGTTTCCATGTGCCAGAGAGATTTAACTGCAGGTTGTTCTCAAGCTGTTGCTTTTCCTGCAGAAATTTTATTTTCACACACATCCTTGTGTTTGGTGGCTCTGCTTCGTAAAAGCTCCTGCAGTACCCTAGGACTCTCTCAGGAAGATTTAGGTTGATGCTCAGTTTGAGTGGTCTGCTGCAGATCTCATCTCTTCAGATGGGACTTGGCAAACAAAACTGTCTCTGTGAAATAAAGGAATCAGGCTCTTACCATCCAAGAGAGACCTCCTGACAGACTCTTTCATGTGGAGCCAAAGAGACTAGAGAGTGTCAGAGCTTTAAAGACAAAATAGTGCTATCAGAAAGGCATACACAATTCATACAGGAGGGACCCTTCACACACTGGCAGGCTTTGAATTCAACTTTTAAATAAAAGATTTGTCTTCAGACTGAAAAAAAGTGATGCCTTTTATGAGTAATAATGTATAAAGCATTTTTTTTTCTCGATGGAACTACCATTCAGTATAAACTAAGCTGGCTCTTGATTTATTGAAAAGCCAAACTCATATTTTGCTTTGGGAAAATAACACATCGCACAGCTCACCAATTTTCAGATACCTGAGAGATATGGATGTTGGTGCTGCTGAGGCTGGGATTTGTGTCACAGGCCAGTCTGAGGGAATATGGTTTGTGTCTTGGGCTACGGCTCTTATCAGAGATAGTGAGATGAAAGTTGACGGTGAGCATCATTGATGGGAATTCGGGGTTGTTAAGAAACTCTCCTTTGTATGTATGAAGCATTTGACTTTTATCAAAGGTCTTTGATTGCTGATATGTGTAAATATAATCAGGTATATAAGGTTATTTGAATGTTTTAATTTATTCTTGCATGTTTGAATGTGAGCAGTGTCCAACAGGAAGCCCCATGTGTTTTTGTGCATCCTGAAGTATGACCTGCTTCCCTTTGCAGTTCTTGGGGTCGCTCTTTCACATTCCCCTCTCAGTCACTGGCAGATCCAGCTTCCTCCAGGCAGCTCCGTCAGAGCAGCCCCTGGGCCAGCTTGATTTTGCCTCCTTGGAGGCTGCAGAGAATATTTTCTTGTCCGGGGGTACTTGGGCTTTTGGATACAACTAACAGTTGTGGAAGGTTCTTCCTCTGCAGGAAGATGCCAGCAGGGTAGAGCAGTTCCCAGACTCCCAAGGGGTCTTCTGCTCTCTTAAATATACAGAGACTATGCATTCCCACTTTATATTCAATCTACTGCAAGCCCTTAAAGGCCAAGTTTCCTCGAAATATAAATCAGTCCTTACTCCTGTATTCTTCTCTTAGCTTATCTAGCAGAATTAGACCCAGGAGGTTTTGTTGTCAACGCTGCTTATGATTAAAGTACACCACAGACACCTTTCAGGGAGCCACACAAATCCATCCACATCGTGAGCATCGCTGACACTGAACCCTATGTGGGTCGTTCTCAAGAAAGACCGATGCAATAGCCTGACAGGAAAACGATGGCTTCAGAAGTCCTCAGGGCAGCACCTCTGCCCAAGCTCACCAAACAGGCAGTACCCAGCACTCATGGGGTGTGTGGAAGTAAAGCTGTCAGCTCAGATAAGGGCTTGCAGAAGCCCTGCATGCGCGCAGCACATGTGCCCCGTCTCCTTCTCTGTAAAATAACTGTGGGGCACAGCATCCTTTTTGCTGTCTTCCATCGACTGAAATCCTCATGCTGCCCACTCTTGCCAAGGCAGCGCCTTGTTCTGACACGTGGGCAGGTGAAAGCTGTGGAGTAACATTTGTAACGTGGGGAAGAAAAGTCTTTTGGGTCTGGGTCTGCTTTTTTTTAGCTCCTTGTTTGCTTATTGTGGTGTGAGAGCAGGGACATAAGTATTTTTGAAGGTGCATGTTCTCAAAGTGTTCGCAGAAGTACCTTAACTGCAGCTCTCACCTAAGGTACTTCTGCCTGGAAGTGGAGAAGGGCAGCTTGTGTTCCCTCTGCACTGGTGTGCCAGGGCAGGAGAGAGGAGGGTTAGCGTGGACAGCTGTGCTGAAGCCCCAAGTCATGCTCTCAGTGGCCCGTGGCTCTGCTGCCTGGCCATTGCTCAGGTACCCCTGTCATGCCCTGAGCCCCCGAGCCTGTCCCCCCGCCGCAGGCAACCCTGGTCCATGGATGGGGGCTGCAGCAGGGGGCTGTGGTTGTGTACAGACCTGGGATGCTCTTCCCATAGTGAGTGCAGAGCTGTGAGGTCCTAAGGTGCCCGCTGGAAGGCTGCAAGAGCGTTCACAGCTCTGCCCATACACTTGCTCTGGACAAAAAACCCTGAAGGAAATTTTGGACCCTTCATGAGCACAGGCTGCCACAGCCACACTCGTGCCCTGACGCACTTTTCAGCATGACAATGTCGTTGCACAATTGCCTTTTGGAAGACGCCAGGCAGGATTTGAGGCAGGTGAAGAGAGAGATGCAGAGGCAGATGAGGCTGCTGGAACTATCCACGAGGAGCTGCCTGTGTCCTGCCTGTGCAGCCCAGCCCTGCACCCCTGCTGCCTGTGCCAGCCCGATCCCAGCCCCTGGGAGAGAAGAGCTGACACTGAGAGGCTGGATGTGGAGCGAGAACTGGACAGGTAACAGGTATTTGCCTGCTTTCTGTGGGCATCGGCACCCTTTGAGGCAGGATGATGGGAGGTTTGGCATCAGTATCAGGAGTGAAGGTAGAAACAGATAAGCGAGATGGGAGAGAAATAACCATATTCAGAGAAATTAGTTGAAAAGGGAACAGGAAGGCAGGGCTTGTGCATCCAGGCAGCCCAAGAGGAGCCACACAGGCAGCGCCTGTGCTGGAAAGGGTTTGAACCGTGTATGTTGTGCTATTAACCATCTTGCAAACTGCATATAAAAGTAAAGCACACAATTAGATCCAAAGCTGTTCAGCTGTGGAACAAAGTCTATTGTCAACGTAAACTCAGTTTAAGTCTGGTAAACATGTAATTGTTTTCATCAGTAGCCAAAATGTGCCCGTACGCAGTGGGGTGCAGCACTGATACACCACAGAGGCGTGTCCATGTTCTTCCACCTTGCACTGTAGGAGGAGTAAGCGCCAGGATTTCTACATCTCCCTTTTGACTACTGGTGTGATGAATTTTATTTTGTTAATAGAGTTCGCGATTGACTCTAGCAGAGATAAAAACCAAAGGTAGGCCTACAATAAATAAAAAATAATAAAACCTTACCATTTGGGTTAGGGCATGGCCAAACACTGAGAGACCCCAAGGTCTAAGTCCCTTGGCATTCAGCATTGGGAGCCTCTTGCTGCATTTTTTGCACTGGTATTTTCCCCCCAGACTCAAGCTTCCGTCCAAGTTCTCTTATGTTGTGCCTGAAGATGATGAGACCTTCATCCTAGCAATTAAAAATGTGACATTTTTGTTACCCACAGAGCAGCAAGTATCATCCCACAGTCTGCCATGTATGTTGTCTCTACTGGGTGTAACAGAGTTAGAGGAAAAAGGAAAAAAAACTTGACCTCTGGGTTAACTTTACACTGGCTTCAGCAAAACTGGAAGTTGCTATGTGGTTCCTTTTAACAGGTAGCTGCAGCTCATGCAGGGCTGTCAAGAAGCAGATTTCAGATCCCAGATGTTACAGCACTGGTGTCCATGTCAAGTTTTTCATCAGTACATTGGGCACCAGAGCTGAGCAGGAGCAGCACACCCTTATAGAATCATTAAGCACCAAAATCTCAGTGAAGGAATGGAAATTCAGTCTGAATGGAAGCCAGGGAGTTTCAGGATAGGTCATGGTATGCTGGAGCATGCTCTTGCTCTTGCAGGCTCCCCAGCCCTTCCATGTTTGTGACAACCTGCTGGTTTGAATACATCACACTGTTTTCTCAAACCACCCCACAGCAGGATTTCAGCCAATCACACTGGGGAACTCAGCCACCTCCTTCCCACAAAAAATGCTGGGAAGGACCAACACCTCTCCAACCATCAATATAAAAATGACCAAAAGAGCACGTGGAGGAGCCAGCTCTCACAAAGCACAGAAAACACATCCTAAAATCAACACATCGGGTTGAATCATTGCAGGCTTTAAGTAGGATTGCCAAAATGGGAGTACCTTGCTAATGATCACACCCATTATCTTTTTAATTTGGTGTCTTGTGTCCAATTCAGCTACTGTAACTGAGGTGACCCTTCTACTGTCTACTTTACAAATGGTTTAAATAAGAGCTAGACTTCTGTTTGAGCCAAGTTACTGTTTGACAGTATTAGAAATCATCTTAATAGCTCAGGGAGCCTCCAGCCCAGCTCTGCAGGAGCATTTGTTTGGGTTTTTTTCTGCCAGATATGTCTCCTATCCACTGACTGCTTTAAATACAATTCCTAACTGCAATATGTGATCTATTGTAACTATCCATTTAAAATGTAGGACAAGGCATAAGATGGACACACATGGCTCTGTAGGAGTATGTACATGTGAAAGAGGAGTGCTGGCTTCTCTGTATTTAGGTGAAAGAACTTTTCATCTCTGCAACTGCCCCATCCCAAGAGGGGATGCTGAAATCCTCCTGACTGCTGTAGCGTGCAAGTGGCAGCTCCTTTTGATGATGCAGACACCACCCCAAATATTGCGCATCAGCGGGAAGGTGGATCCAATAGTTTCCCATGTACTTCTCTTGCCCTTCAGGTGGCCCACCCATTCCTCTGTGAGTTGGACTGAAAGGCTACCCTCTTGCTTTTGCTCTAGCATGCAGAGAAGGCTTAGCAAGGTGTTTAACTCTTCCCATGATGACAAGCTTTTGGGTTTGACGGATGTGAAGGGTTTCGACCCTGAGGAAGTCACTGTAACAGTGAAAGATGGGAAGGTGAAGGTGTTAGCACAGCATGAGGAGGAACGCACCACCATTAGAGGGAAGGAGTATAAGTACAGAAACATTGTGAAGGAAGTCAGCCTGCCCCTGGGGGTGAGTGAGGATGAGGTGACCTGTTCTCTGGGACTGGATAGCATCATGATGATCAAAACAGCACACAATGCCCCTGTCTCCTGAGCCACTGAGCTATAGCAGGGAGCAGCACCCAGGCACAGTCGTTCCTCTGCCACATCCCTTCTCCCTACCAGCTTTAGGTGCATCCCGCTAACCGTGCACCAGCACCTCCTTGGGCCTCTTCCGAAATAAAAGCACCGAGCAGGTGTGTGTGAGCCTCATTTTGGGGGTGTTTGGTGAGCAAAAAGGGGGGTGCCATCACACTTGGGCATTCTTGGCTTTGGTCACTTGCTGGGTGCCAAAGGCATGTCTGGAGGTAGCATGGTTCTGGGCAGATATTGCTGTTGTGTCTGATCTCACAGGTTTTAAAGGCTGAAAGGCACCATTTGTAATCCGTCACGTTCCCATAAGGACACTTCTCTCACTCCCACCATTTCTGTTTGAGCTCTAGGATATTTCTAGGAAGAAAACCTTAATAATGAACACTTCGAGGGGAGGAGTGTCCTCCTAAAAAAAAAATGAACTGTGCCGTTTGTCCCTGTGGTTTGGCTCTTGCAGAGGCTGCCTGGCTGGGAAGAGCCGCTGTTGAAGGACAGAGGGTTTTTCTTTGGAAGAGATTGGGACTAGGGCAGAACACTTAGCAGCTGGGGAAGGAGTGATTAAAGTGTTTCCTGATGTAGAAATTGATAGCTCCAAATTAATAAGAAAACATTTCTCAATTGGAAAAGGAGAGAATTCTCAATGTATTTTCTTCAAGGTAATATTAATGAAAAAATTAAGGTCCAAAGCAAGACCTCACATAGCCACAGCCCTCACTCTTCCTGAGCCTGGAGACCAGCAGGACCAGCAGGACCAGCGGGGTGGGGGTGACACGAAAGGAAAGTCTTGCAGGGGTATTGCATTTGCTGCCCTGGCCTTAGCACTTGGCCACACACACCTGCGGAAAGCAGCATTAGCTTTCACTGAAGAAAGGCGTCTGACAAGACAATATACCAGATTCCTGCAGTGGGCAAGCTGTCTTTCCAGCAAGCACCACCTGGTTCAGGCTTCATGAGCCCCCAGGGCTGGGGCAAGTAAGGTTGCACCTCTTTTTCTGGTGGTCCCTGGCCCCCACAGGACTCCCAGCGCTGTCAGGGCAACACACCTCCAGCAGCACAGGGGTCCTCAGTGCCAAGGGCTCTCCCCCACTGCTGCAATGGGGATACTACCCTGGAAACGCTCGTGCCAAAAGGAGACAAAACCACCCCTTTATTTTCAGCCTGCCTCGCTTTCACAATTTACATTGATGGTACAAAGGTGGAGAATCAGAGTGGACGGGTTATAAAGCAGCAAGTCAATGGCTATGAGCACTGTGGCCAGGGGAGATCCTCGGCTCCACCGCCCCCTGCTCCTCTCCTCCCGGCTCTAGGCATGCTCTGACAAGGAGCAAAACTGTCCCCGTTCAAAGAAGCTCAGAGCAGCCCTCTGCATTGATTTGATGCTATTTGGACCAGGCTGGTGAAGTCAGCAGCATCTTGGCCTCCTGTCAAGTAAGCACAGCCCCTTAGGGCAGGACCCTGAAACAGCTCCTTCAAACATCCCGGCAAGGTTGAGGATCACTTTGGCTCGGCTGTAACCAGCTCAGTAATTGAACTTTAGTGAAAAAATTTTATGCTTGATATGTAGCTGGGTCATTTCAGAGCCATAAAGCTGTGGAATCATTTGAATTGGAAGGGACCTCTAAAAACCACCTAGTTTAAGTCCCCTGCCATGGGCAGGGACACCTCCCACTAGATCAGGTTGCTCAAAGCTCCGTGCAGCCTGGCCTTGAACACTTCCTGGGAGGGGGTATCCACAGCTTGCCTGGGCAACCTGTTCCAGTGTCTCACCACCCTCATAGGAGAAAGTTTGTTTCTCAAGTCCAATCTAAATCTATGCTCCTGCAGTTTAAAGCTCCTTGTCCTGTCACTACAGGCCTTGGTGAAAAGTCTTTCTCCATCTTTTTTATAAGTCCTCTCAATAAATCAAAACGCCCAGGGAGCCTGATTCTGCTGATGTTGCTCGAGCATGTTTTGAAACAAGTGGCACCTCAACTGGGAGGCTTTAATGGACCCTCCTGTGAGATCAGGCAGTGGGGACAGGGACTGGGGATGCTACAGACCCCTGGAGAAGGACACTTTCTAGGAAGCAACTCACTGAGTAATAAAACTAAATGCCCTTTGGGATACAGTCTTCTCACTTTGTAACTATTTCTACAGAAGCTGTCTAAGCGTGCAGAGGAGAAATGTGTTTCAACACCTCTCATCTACCCATGACTTCAGATTTGCAGAATATATTGAGTCCTGCCGCAATGCTAGGGCTCGCTGTGACTGCTCTTGTCTTTATTGCTCATCCTTTAACACATGCTCTTCACACTTTGTTCCTAAATAAGGCTCCTAACACCAAATTACACTCCTGAGCAGAAAGATTTTATTGGACAATTAGGACTTCATTCCCAGATTTCAGGACAAGAGGGCACTGAGAGATGAACTGACCTAATCTCGTATTATATTATTTTATACCACAAATAATCTGCCTGAATTCTAACTTCCAGAAAGGTATCTAGTCCTTATTTGAAGATTTTAGAAAACAAACTCCAGCCCCCTTCTTTGTATTTTGCTCCAAATGGTAATTTCCCTGCAATTAAATGTCATGTCTTGTTACTAACATGAGACTGTCTGTCATCGTCAGTTTATTTTTTTCCTCTGCCAGATGACAAAAACCCTCAGAAACTGACTTTGTAGTAACTCAGTAGCAGCTGTGAACTTCTTCTACACTGTAAGCAGGTCATTTTTCAGTCTTGAAATTCTAAAGTTTCTCATTGCAAGATGTGGCGTCCAGCTCTTTAATATTTTTAGCTCATTCTTGACCCCTTTTTCCAGTTTTCAGTGCTCTTGGCAAAGATGGTCACCGGGACTGCCTACAATAATTCCCACTCCCCCACGAACACCGTATACAGAGGTGGAAACACAGCATTGGAGACACATTTGTGGGGAAGCACATTTCAGTTGTTAAAGGAAGATTTAGGAAAAACTGCTTGATTTATATACTTTTGTACAGAAATGAGCCACAAATAGCCATTTCTTCCTACTGATTAGGACTCCCAGTGTTTAAATTCAAAGATCACTTGCAGGTTGAGGGGTACATCTTATGGAGATTCTGAAGAAAATCCCTAATTCATTTTATATCCTGTGAATGCTAGTCTGGCCTTGTAGGAGCATCTTCAGGACCTTTTCTGCAACAGGAGGAAATCACTCAAATAGTCAATTTTGTGAATACCTACATGCTGTAAATACTCTGGGGCATACCCTAGAGTGTTCTCAAATTCTGTACCCTCCAGATGCTGCTTAGCTGGGGGGTTGTTAAGTGAAAATATCTTTGAAAAACACCATTAACAGCAAATGATGTTCACATCAGCATGTCCCATAAAATAAATTCCTTTGCCACTAGGTGGCAGATTTTTATTTATTTATTTATTTTTAAATTTACTGCCGTGTAACTTTTTTAAAAGCAAACCTGGTGAAGGTGGTGTTACAAAGCAGTAAGAATGGCACACGCTGCAGCTGGTATTTTTCTTTGCAACGCTAACAGCAAATTGAGAGGAGGGCAAGAGCTGGAGCTGTGGTTTGCGAACCTGGAGCCCTCACGATAGATCACCATGATGTTAAGTTCCTATGCTGGGTTATATTGACCTTCCATCCTGCAGGTCTTCCCCGCAGCATACAGCTCCCGGATAATGCAAGTGCCATTCACTTCAGCAGCCCGGCTCTATCACAGCCATTAGCCCAAACAGGGCCTTCCAGGAGTTAATATGTTATTCAGCATATTATTGCACAAAAATATTTCAAGGGCCAATTTTGACCATCCTCATGTAGCAGATAACTTCTCCTGAATTCCCTGGCATGAGGAAGATGCCCGAGAAGGTGACTTGGCTCTGTGCTATAAGCGCGTCAGTGCATTCCTGAACTCTAGCCTTATCCAGGCATTTATAAATAGGCAGAGCCCTAGGAATTTGTACGGGAAGTCATCTGAGGATGCTAGCTCCAGACATCACTTCGGTCATGGATTTCTAGGGGGTTTCCTACAGCCAGACAAGGCTCTGTGGGCTTAGGTTGCATAGTAATGGGGGTTTTTTTTCCTAGCTATTGCAAAGCTGGTCGGTACCTCGGCGAGAAGGCACGAGGTGACCCCAGTTTTCCCAGCACGCTGCTGCTCCCAGGAGCAGGGCACTGCCCAAGCAGGAGGGCAAAGGTACAAGTTGTTGCCGGTCCCAGGGGCCAGTCCCACCTGTCTCACCTCCGTTCCTCATCCTCCGAGCAGCGGCGTGGCGAGGGTGTTGGGACCACAGCTGTGCCCCTCAGGCAGCCACCACACTTCATTCATTGATTTCGTTTGTGCTTAAAGTTAAATTTAACCATTGTCTCCACTAAGTCCTTGGTAACCTCAGTGTCTTAGATAAACTTTCCAAGCCTGTTTTCTGTCATCTCCCCCAGAGAAAGCACTAAAGGTTTAGAAGACAGAGCAGGACTCACGGCTCCAAGTGTGCCTTTTTACCAAAGACTCAGTGGATTTGTTGTCATTCTGGATCCTGCACTTGTCACCTCATTAATAATCCTGCACTGGATTTAGGTTAGGAGTAAGCTGATCCTTCCAGTGCACTCGGTCAAGAAGCTGTCACCTCCATGAGCGTGGGGTGCTGTCCCATGTTCCTTCTCTCTCACTCTGTGGGTCTCTTCCCTGGTCCCTTGAATAAAAAGTTATTTTTCCATCTCTGGCTGCCTTCTAATTCCCCTGACATCCCATTTGTCTCCCTTCACTTCAATTACTCTAGATTACACCTTTCATTTTGGCAAGTGATTCACTGAAAGGTGAAGTCCTTTGCTAGGACTGGACACTAGGTTTGGGTGAAAGGCTGTCCCCGAGGTTATCATCTTGATTCCTCTGTTACATGTAGGTGGTGTGAAGTCATACCCGTGTAATTGTCCTTCTTAGTTTCAGCATTAATTACAGATGACAGAAGTCTCTCAGTTCTTTGATCCCTCACG